TCTCAAGGGACTTGGCACCTAAATCTGAGCTGGAAGGAGACACCTATGTCGGCAAGGAGTAAACACCTGTAAATTCTCTCCTGGAGCCAAACACCTAAGGCATTTCTTATGCAAGTGCTGGTGGAGGGAGGAGGCTGCCTCCCCTATAACCATTAGTCCAGTGATTAGGTTACTCTGCCAGGATATGGGAGATCTACGTTCAATGCCCCCACCTACCTGATAGATCGGTAGCGATCGATCTATCGGGGATCAATTTATCGCGTCTAGCTTAGACACAATAAAATCGATCCCGATCGCTCTGCCATCGACTCTGGAACTCCACCGCAGTGAGAGGCGGAAGCGGATTCGACGGGGGAGAGGCAGTGGTCGACTCGCCGCCATCCTCACAGCCAGTTAAATCAACCTAAAATACGCCGACTTCAGCTACGCTATTTCCGTAGCGGAAGTTGCGTATCTTAGGTCGACCTCTCCCCCCCCATGCCGTAGTGTAGACCTAGCCTTAGGGTAGTGGCTCTCAAACTGTGGGTCACGACCGGAGGTCGCCAGGGCTGGCTTAGACTTGCTGGGGCCCAGGGCCAAAGCCCAAGCTTGAGGGCTTCAGGCCTGGGCAGTGGGGCTAAGGTTACAGACCCCCGGCCTGGGGCTGAAGCGCTCTGGCCCCCCGGCCTGGGGCAGTGGGGCTTTGGCTTTGTCCCCTGCCCTGGGACGGTGGGACTTGGGCAGTTCTCAGGCTTCAGTCCTGGTGTCGTGTACTAATTGTTGTTGTCAGAAGGGGGTCACGGTGCAATGAAGTTTGAGAACCCCTGAATTAGAGCATGAGTCTCATCTCTCAGGTAAGTACTGTAACCCCTGGGGCTATGGGGTATTGTGATGTGGGTCTCTCTTGTTGAAGCTGGTCCCCTAACATGCAGTTAGGCACCTAACTCCCTTTATTAATCTAGCCCACAGTGTACGAGAAGCCAGGTTATAGACTTCACACCACAAGGGGTCAACTTTGTCCCTTGGGTACAGTGCGGTGATTGAGAAACAGATACATTAATCCCTCCAAAATTTTGCAGCATCTGTTAATTTAGCTGAGCAGGAACTTGCTGGAGTCCTACGGCGTTTAGTGTTTTTGCTTTGACGTAAGCCAGTGATGAAAGCAGAGTTGGACTGGCCCACAGGGCTACAGCGAAATTTTCTGGGAGGACAACAAGGTTTCTTGGAAGTGGGGAAGAGCCAGACCTCTGCCCACACGAACCATGCCATAGAGATGAAGCTGCGGCCTGCATTACCTTCCCCAGCTACCACATAGCACCAGATGCTGCTGCAGCCTCCTCATTCTTCCTCCTCCCCCGCCTGTCAACTGTAATGCGGTAGCGCAGGTAGGAGTGGGGAACAGAGAAGGCCTATGTGGTTGCAGCTGTATTAGACAGAACTCCGAAGTGAGGCAGCACCAGCCCTACTTCTCTCTATTGTGAGACCAACAGTATTAACCCTTTCAGTGCCTGCCAGCACAATTTCCGTCTTCATTTCAGAACAAAATAATAATACTCAAAGGTTTAACTGAACACAAGCTAGATGACCTGACCCTGCTTCACACTCAGTCAGCTCTCTACTAAAGCACTATAAACCGACAAGATCTTATCACAGCTCCATCCTGACTGGTGGCACTAAATATCCTCCAGACTGCCATAGTCCCTCCAGAGAGTTTTAGAGATCTTTGAGGTGGTATTTCAGGAATAGGCCAAATCTGAATTCTCATTCTGCAAAGGCATTCTGGTAGGGCATTCTTGCTGTTCCCACACCTGACCTTGTTGTGTTCTTTAACCCATATCTTTTATTCTGGTCAGAGATACGGTAACTCTTGCACTAGGTCTTCAGCTGAAAAGTTGATCTTATCTTGGAATTCTTGTACAGCTTTTTCTCTGAAGGTTTTCAGGCCTAGGCTGGCATATAGCCCCAACTCCATAGTATCTGAATGCCTTCCAAGTACTTAATTATGCATTATTTTCCCTCTTCCAGTCTACAGGAGAAATAGCTTGAATAGTTCATGTGGTGTTTAAGTGTTTGTATGTGTGGGAGTCTTTTGTATGTCTGTACAGAAACAGAGAAAACTGTCACATGTTCTGCATTTAGCTGTGGAAAGTGGTTAGTCGTGTTGTCATTCTTGTCGCTTGTGGGAGTGAGTTCCATCCTCTAGGTCCAGCTCTTGAAGGTCCTATCTCTGACGCACAAATCTCTCTCTACAGTTTTGCGGTTTCAGTAGAACATAGCTATCATTGGACTGTGTGGTCAGGAAGGGGGGGGCACTCTCTCAGGTAGCTAGGGTCCATCCTATGGAGGATTTTGAGTTACATGACAGAGATCTTGAACTGGTGTCTGTATTCAATGGGGAGTCAATGTAGAGATTAGAAAGCTAGGGTGGTGTGTTCATGACAACTTGCGAAGCTAGCAGGGCCAGCTCTAGGCACCAGCAAACCAAGCACGTGCTTGGGGCAGCACATTTTCAAGGGCAGCATTCTGGCCATTTTTTTTTTTTGGTTGCTTCTGGCAGCAAACGCCTAGAGCCGGCCCTGGCAGCAGCAGGACGTCGTGCGCGAGGGGGGGCACCCTGTAGCCGCTGCGGTTCGCGCCATGGGGAAGCAGCACCCACACTTTGTGGCTGTTCCGGGCAGGCTTCGAGCGGGGGACACTCAGGCTGGGGGACACCCCACGGGGCACACGGAGCCGCCTGCAGGTGCCGCAGGGCGGCCGCCCCCAGCGCTGCAGCCCAGGGACTGTGGCAGGGCGGCCAGAAGCAGCAGCAGCGGGGCCATAGAGGGCGAGGTGCTGTCGTGCGCGGCCTGTGTCCTGCTCTCCTGGGCTCCACTGTCTCTGGGGCTACCCTGCCCCTGCTCCTCAGCCCTCTGTGGGGACGGTCCCCCAGCTCTGCCCTCCCAGGTCCCGGCTGGTACTGGAGGCGGGAGCCCTGGATGGAGGGACCCTGGGCTGAGACGCGGCCCGGGAGCCCCGCTGCTTACCCCGACCCTGCCAGCACCGGACTGGCTGGAGGTGAGGGGGGAGTGGGCAGAGTCATCACTGGTGGGGGGGGAGCCCAGGGCTGGGACGGCAAGGGGTGAGGGTGGGAGGGGGGAATAGAGAACCCAGGGCTGGAGTGGGGGCAGCCAAAAAATTTTTTGCTTGGGGCGGCCAAAAACCTAGAGCCGGCCCTGGAAGCTAGGCAAACAAGCTGCTGGTTTTTGTAGCAGCTGGAGCTTTTTCAGGAAGGGTGGTTTCATTCCTAGATATGAAGAGTTACAAAAGCAACCCTGGCAGTCACAGATTGAAAAAGCACCAACTACCTCACCTCTCCTCAAGTCTCTGCTTTCTACACACACCACCTTGGTTGCTAGGAACGCCCTCAACCCCAAATCTCTCATTCCTTCCTGGAAATCCCCCAGTGTCTGCCTCCTTCCCACTCCCTCTACTTCATGGAATCTCCCCACCCCCTACATATCACCCCACAGGATCCATAGTGAACTTCTGGGGCTGCAGCTGCTGACATCACCTGTAAGGCCAGGAGTTGGAAGGCAGAGTTCTGGTACCGTAGGCCTCAGAGATGGGGCTGCAGAGACCCACAAGCTGGAAAAAGCCTGGGGCCCAGCTTCTTGTGCTGGGCTCCATGGCTGGAATTCTGTCCACTGCTGTGGTTGCTCCACTCCACTGTCTGGTCCCTGGGTGGCAGCAGGCCATACCAGGAGGAACCAGAGCACCACCCAGCTCAGAAGCTAATGCAGCCAAAACATCACCATGATTCTGTGTTGCGTTCAAGGGCACAATAATAGTGTGACATGTAGAAACACTGGCAAGCAACTGAAACTTTACTTTCCATTCTCAACACATAATCCGGGTCAGAGATACAAATGCAATACCGCTCATGACAGGAGTCATTATCAACCTTACTGTTATATCTTCCCTTCAACAAAATAAAATGGATATACAGTAAAACATAATATTAAAAATAATCACAAATGAATGACAAATACTGTCCCTGAATCTTGATCACTTCCTGATCAGACAGTCACTTGTTCTCAGAAGCAGTTTCTTTAGCAGTGGCACTCTAGCCCTGCCATACATGGAAGTCAAGCAGCCCCAGCTAAAGCGGAGGCTCTCAGAGCTTTCAGGCTCTTTGTTGCACAACAGGAGACACCCCAGATTCTGGGGGAATTCTGCAGGCAGCTGGCCACTGAAGAGAAATGTTCTGATTTTTCCAAACTGAAAATTTTTCAGAGTGTCCTGTCCATGAGAAATTTTGGAATTTCTAGATATCATTCCAAATCAGAATGGAACTGGAATCTGCAGAATGGAAATTCCAAGTTTCCACCAGCTCTAGTTATGACAAAGTCTGTTCTTGGGAGATTTTCATTCCAATATTAAACAAATTACCTCCACTTAGCTCCACATACCAAGATGCAAGGAAGGCTGCACCAGGATGTAAAGGAACAAGTTTCTCCCCTTTCTGTCCCTGCACAGGCTGCCCACAACCTGGCCCTTTGTATTTTTATGTTGCTCAGTCCTGAAGTCCTCTGAGTACCTAACACAAATATCTGAGTTCCGCATGGCCATACATTTCTACGTGGTCAAATAACTATATACCCAAAGAGGTTTGGATGCAGATTCAGACACACATTCATGGTTTTTAGATGTTTACTTGACTAAACTTTTCAATGTTGCCATCACTCATTCCCACTTACAGATCAAGTTCACATGCATTTGTTTGGCTTCTATCATTACATATGCAAGGTCTATACAAATCAGAATTTAAAAAAAAAAGTCAGAGGATATAATATAAAATCAGCTGCTACCAGTCCCATGTTGCTAATTCTGAATGTAAACCATTCTTTCGACCTAGTCAAACTTCTTTTAATTCTGCCAGTTAGACAAGTACTGCATTTCTGCAATGGGGGGCTCCCTATCCTTAAGAGTTTTTGAGTTCCTTAGTTTCATTTGTTTCCACCACAGGATTCCAGAGGTAGTACAACTGTCAAAATGCAATTCCCATGTTTTCACAGTCGGCTGGCAACTAGGCACACAAGTATTCATTTTCCATGCCCAAGGCTCCAGCTTACACATGACATTTTGATGAAGGTTTTTGAAGCTTGGGCCTTAACATTTCAGACAAAGGTATTTATGGACACCCAAAAAGGGAGAAAATTTACTAAAACATGTTGATCCCCACCTGTCTTTCTGCCTCCATTTTCCTGAGTGATGAAGACAATAAGAACTCCTTCAATTTCTGAAGGCCAATCACATAAAAGTAATTCAGCAACTCAGAGAGGAATCTGCAAAAGTGGATCAAAGCCAAGTCATCCTGACAAAAAGGACAGAACTTTTGGAGCAGGTATACGCGTGTGCTGCAGGACTTCTAACCCCATTTCAGAACAGTCCCAGGATGTGTTAGATATTCTTGATACAGACAATAGCTGAGCTAGGACTAGACTCTTTGCCTTTGTGTTTTTAGAGAATTAATATTTTTATGTATGTTCTGTACACTGTAATTCTGATAGATACTTTCCACGGTGGAAGAGTTAGTTGTGTTAACTGTCCCAGGCCTGAGGTTATTCCTAGTCTGAAATACAAAGAAAAATCAATACATTAAGCAGATTTTTATACAACATCCCAAATACAGACCAAAGTGAAAAGTGAAATGGATGAAATCAGGACAGTGACATGTGAAGTTACATCACAGTTTACTCTGAATGAAGAGATGGGGCAGAGATGATGACACTTGAGGGTGGAGAGAAATACAGCAGCACAATGAGGGCCTGGTCCATGATTCAGGTTCCTACACACATAAGTGTTGGAACTAGGGGCGCTGCCGCACCCCCTGACTTGAAGTGGTTTCCATCATATACAGGGTTTGTTTGGTTCAGTGGCTCTCAGCACCCTCACTATACAAATTATTCCAGCACCCCTGCCTACGCACTATGATAATACCAACAACCATCACCACCATCATGTCATAAATTACCAACTTATTACAGGAAAGAATGAGACCTGTTCAGTTCAGGCCCTGTAATCTCTTGTTCCCCTTCCACATATCACAGTTTAGGACAGCCAAATTTGCACTTGTCTGAGACTATATGACTCAGTACATGAAACTGTGGTGTAGTTATTGCTGGGGCTTTTGGCCAAATCACCTCCTACTCAGACACTGTCCTTCCATCCACCCAGAATTGTTGTAAACAACACAGACATTTAATACAGGGTCAGCCTGGCATGCATCTTTTCACAGATACAATAACTCTCCTTCACTTTGCAACAGTAACATGCAAAGCTGTTTATAAAATGCTGATGCTAACAGTATAACATAACTAAGGATATGGTGAAATTCTCTTGCTTGGGACACCCTGATGGGTGACTGCCATCATTAAGCAGAATTTACAATGAACAGAAGTCACTGTTTTACTTTCATAGTAATGTTGCTGTCTGAGAAGCTGCACAGCCCATTGTGCTACTGATTGGACCCAGGGAGTCGGGAGTGATACTAGCTACACTGGGTTAGGAACTATGCATGCGGCTTTCCAGGGGCAGCAGACTGACCTCCAAAGTAATGGCCCAACAGTAACCAACGTGGAAGGAGATAAAACAACCACTAGGAACAGGCAGCAAAGCAAATCTGCATGTATCACTGCTACTGAAAGGCATTGGGAGCAAACAAACAGCAGAAGAGTGAGACAAAACAAAAAATCTAAGCACAAAAATAACACGACGGCATCTGCTTAAGTAGACTTGTTGTTCCCATTAAGAAGTAATCAAATACTATTTGGCAATTTTACCTAAATGCTCTTTCTCAGAGACCTGGAATAGAACTATTAAGAAAGAAAAATCTCCCCAGATTTTCCTTTAGTTCTATAGGTAGCCTCACTGCTTTCACATGCAAACATCCCTGAATAAGGAGATATTTCTTCATTCGTAATTTACTCACTTTATGCCAGGTCCTGAGAGGAGCTGAACATCGACTTATTTCCTGCAACTCCCACTGACCAAAGGGAGCTTTGCAAGCTCAACAGGTGCTCCTCACCTCTCAGGGTTTAGACAGTTTGCTACCTTCCTCTATTCCTCACTGTCCACATCAGACTTCGTAGTTTTTAATATATCCGTGCCAGCCTGCACAAGTGCATTAATAATTCTGAATGTTATTAATCTGTAGAGATTAAGGGAGCTGCTGTGTAGATAATAAGATGACAGAGAGTTGCTGAACAAGGATGGTTGAAACTAGACCGTAAAAAACAGTAAGGTCTATAGATACCGTGGCATCGCTACCACAACAAAATTACAATGAAAACCTGAGCTGAGATCCTGACCTTACTGAAGTAAATGGGAGTTTTTTTCACTAACTTCAATAGGGCCAAACCTTCGGTAGGTATTTTCACACTGTATCTATCTAGTATTTCGATTGTACTGAAGGAAATTATATTTAAAAGCTAAGGTCAATATTTAGATTTTAACTGTACAAAATCAGAGAGTTCAGAGTGCTAGCTTCCGCAAACACTTTGCCACTTTCTCCTAGAATGTGTGCATCACCACGGGGCCTTTCATTACAGAATCGCACAGAAGTGGACCATGTGATATAATACAGCTTGACAAAGAATATAAGATAAGGGAAAGCAAGTGCATCTTTTCTATACCTATAGATGAAAACAAAATGCTATGGATGTGACCACCTGTTTAGTCATGCAGTGCCTATGTGGCATCAAAGACCCGAGTGTACTGCTTACATACACAAGGGCAGAGTTAAGGTTGCCATGGGAACCATAATTCTGATCTCACGAAAGTCAGTGCATTCAAACACTCAACCTTAAAACTGCATTATTTTTCTAATAAATATTTTATGATATTTTTATGGCAGATGTTGCATTACATCCCTTGCCTACAATTATGCAATTACTTGGTGCATTTTAAATATACACAAAAAAAGACACAAACATACAGGTCACAGACATTTTCATTAATATATAGCCACATAGACAATGATACAAAAACATAGAAATTGACATATTGGGGCTGTGTGAGACCAGGTAAGTTAAAATGAAACTGGATGTGTCAGTCCAAAATCAGAATAAATTCCACTTACTGTGGTAGCATCTGCCAGTCCAGATAACCAGGAGGCTGAAAATAAGATATCATCAGATCAAAATGGTTTGATGGGACAACACACACGTGGTAGTTATTATCTATATTTCCTCTGCTGTTAGTTGAAAAACTTTCATCTCAACACAGCTGAACTCCTTGGCTTAGTTGACAGTTGTATTGTCACTGTTAGAATTCCTTTATTGTTAGCAGGTTTGCGATTGTTTTACTTTCCATTTCTATAACATGTTCAGACACTCCAGTAGAAGTAAGAATATGTGAACGTTAAAGGCTGCTGTCGGAGAAGCTTGCAGATATTGAATTGAACATGATTAGCAAGGGTGGGGAAAAATTGGTTTTAAAATGGTCCCTTTATTCTTGCACATTGGCAAAGCACCATAGTGGTATGCCATTGAGAGTCACCTATCAAATTGCTGCAAACAAATGTCATTGCAAATGTCAATCCTTTGGTAACAACTGCTTTTGGCTGCTGCCTCTTCCTTTTCTCACTGTATCCTACCTCCTCTGTTCCTACCAGCCCCATCTCTCTTTAGGCTGCCTGTCACCCATCCCCACCACGCCTCTGGCCCTGCCTCAGCAAATACACCTACAATGTAATACATCGGGGGAAGGGGGGAAATCATCTGAATCACATTCAGTAGGGAAGAGAAACTAGACAAGCAGTAATTCTGGAAGAGGAGAGTAAATTAGATCCCTCTGCCTCTCCTATATTACTCCACTTACTTCCCATTTCACCCAGCCTTCCCACTTGGGTACTCCTGCATCCATGGTCCTTCTGCTTTCACTGTACTCAAGCCATCTCTTGTGTTCCAGCTGTTGCCACAGCTACCTCCCATTCCAACTAGCCCCCCAAGTGTTGATTCACCCCTCCTACTTTGTCTTCTATTCCAATCATACCCCTGAAACCATTTGACTTCATTCCAGTCAATACCAAAGCATAATCTCAGGTTAGATTCCATCTTCAGTACAAGTGTATTCAATATGGACCTGATGCGTGTTGAAGTCTGTGGGAGGTTTTCCCATTGACTGACATGGCCATTGGGTCAGGCCCTAATAAAGGAGTTAAAACTGGATTAAAGGTAACTGTTGAGAATTTTAAGTCTTAAAATTGCAGTGACTGGAAACATCTGAAACATTAAAGCCCTCCATTATAGGCTGTAACAAATCCTGATTGTGACACTGTTTTTATGTATGAGCAACAGACCCCTTGAAATATAAACCACTGTATCAGTCAGAAAGCAAACCTGGGGTCTCTGCCCTGGGATATTCCATAGTGAATAGACCTGTGGGAGTCACTTAACCTGCCTCTCTACTATTTTTAATAAGAAATTGAACCTGGTTATCCAAAGAGTATTTTCTCTTTGGAAACGTTACATATCTAATTGGGTGGAGGCTTCCATCTTAAGTAGCAGCAGGAGTTTCACATCTGGCCCCCAGAGCTGGAGGAAATTATCACAGGAGTTTAGATAACATGGAAATTGTCGAGAGAAGAGAGACATGCTAAGCCTAACCGCAGATCATCCACCCACCTCCCTGGCAGGATGTGAAAGTGAAATTCAATGGCCTTTTGACCTCATTCTAAAACATACAGGGGAAATATTAACAAACACCTACTGGACATAGTTTAACCCTAAACCCCCTTGTCTCAGGATATGTCTACACAACATGTGCACGGGCTAGCCTACCTGAGCTAGTTTGAATCCAGCTAATGTGGGTTACAATTACATTGTCTTCACTGCTGTGCAGGCAGTACAAGCCCAGCATAGACCTTGGATACATACTCAGCTCAGTAGCCTGTTCTGAAGCCTGTGCGGCACTGTCTTCACTGTTACGGTTTCCTGTGCTAGCTGGATTGAAGCTAGCTCAGGTAGGCTAGCCCATGCACAGCTTTTGCTGTATAGACATACCCTCAAACTTAGATCTAACATTCACAAGAGGTCGAGAAAAATCACTGATTGCATAGGTGCACTTCTCCCATCCAGTTAGTGGGGCACTTCCATCATCTGACATGGCCAGTGGCAGAATAAAGGGATATTTCCCCCTACCGGGTAAGTCAGCCATGAGGTAATGAAACATTTTCATATATATCTAAACAGGGACACAGCCCTTAATACAAAGCCCATAGGATTGAATGCAGATGAAACCAATAGAGGTTCTATTCAATTACTCTAAAACTCCTCATCTTGTAATAAAGAATATCTGTTCTATAAAAACTTTCAGCCACATATAGAATTTAACAGAGAATTATACCTCTGCTGTGGAATTCTTGGGTTGGTTTAAAAGTTCTATAGAAAAATCACCACTATTTCTTTAGCACATTTCATAGGTCTTGGACATGGTCAGTAACTGGAGCCCTGAGCTTTCCCCCCATCCCCAACCTGCCCAAACAGGTCAGTGATAAGGTACATTTCCTTGTAAACATGCAGAGTCAGTAATGTGATACTGGGGCATTTCCACCCCTCGTGAAGCAGTAAGTGACTAAGTTCCAAATGGCTTACCTCTGCATTTTAAAGTCCGGTATAAAATCAGAGCAACAACTGCAACAGCGACACATGAAGAGGTGCATATCAGGAAATAACGGAGTATGGGTGAAAGTGTCATGTCCGCAGAAAGTTCTGCCAAGATACCGATACAATGAAAGTTATAACCCTTGATGGAGAAATCCACAGATTATGTAACTAGTGGATTTTACCCAAGCCAGGGAGAGGGGAGTTCTCCCTCTGCTCTTACAGTATATGAGACAGAAAGATCATACACACACACACTCCCCTCTGGCCAGCTTATTACAATATCTTACATCAGGCTCCTCTGAAAACTAGATGAACATCTAACATGGTGTCTTTGGAAGAGTTAAATCCTGATGAAGCCCCAGAATCACAGTGGTTCTCCTGGTGTTCAGGAATCACCCTAGAGGTGGGTTAGCCTGATCCATTCTTGTGGGTGGAATGCCAAGTGTACCGTGTCTCTCTTCAGTCAAGTAAATTCAGTGCTGGAGACACCAGACCAAGCTTCCTCTCACTACCCTGTCATTGTGCTTCAACCCTGATGACAAGTGACTGTCCTCTCGGGAGGAGAGTGTAGCTCAGTCTTCATGCCCTGTTTGGTTCTTGGTCTCTCTGCTGTGATTTCTAACAAAGAACTATGACTGGGTATATAAACCCCGGGCCAGCAAGGATGAAGTTAAGGAGCTGCTTGGCAGTGGCTCTGCCCCTCCACACATGCAAATCCTGCCAGGATTGGAGGCGGAGTTAAAAGGAGGGACCTCCACTCCGGTGGGGGCAACCCTGGGAAGGGAACAGGCTGTTGAGAGAGGTCTGACACCCTGCAGAGTCCTACCCTTGCAGAAGGCAGACATGGATTCCCTGAGCTAAGAAGGGGAAGGAGACAGACTTGTACTAGAGACCAGTGAACTCTGGGTTAGACTGGAATACTTCCATGGCCCTCTGAAGTAAGAGGGGCCAATATCCTGACTAAAGCTGCCTGCATGTTTTCTTCCTTTTCCTTTTTATTTAACCTTGTTTGCTGACAGTGGTCTGTCCTGTTGCTTCACCTGGAACCCTGAGAACCCTGAAACAGCCAAAAGGCTTCAGCTGGAGGGCTGAGGGCTGGCCCCTGTTAGACTGATACATCCCACAGTGTCTGCTGGGGTGGGGGCAATTCGA